CTCAACTAGAAATCGGGATCTCATTTTGGCCCAAATGACCATTCTCGCGATTAAATGCTACGATTAGTCGGCGTTCAGTTATGGACCAGCAGCCGATAAGTGACTTTCTTGTAGAGGGAGGAGAAAACGTACATGGAAAACACCTCAAATGAAACCCCTCCATGACAGTCCCACAGCCTCTTGTACGAGTTCCCCGGACTTGCTGATGACTCGACACCCTGCGGCCACACTAGATCGCAACCCTAGATCTTGGATCGTTTCTTCGCATCCTCCGGTACTATACAGTAGCTTTCAAAAACTATGACTATAAAGTTGGGAATACGGTAGGCAAGGCAGGACGCAGTGCAGTCAGTTTCTGCACCAAACCAGTTGCATCGCTGCTGAATTTGAGCAGCACGCAAACCCATCTTGCCTTGCGAAAAGGACTGCCACTAGCATATTGTTTTCAACAAAGTATCCAGCTATAGCAGAACACCTCGTAACCTTGCAAATGAGTTGACAGGCTAGGTTTTCATCTACGAGCATAGAGAATCTCCCTACGACGCTCCAGGCAACACAATGCACACACGTAGTTCCGAGTGTGAGCCGTTGTCTTACAGATGAAAGTAATGGGGGTTGCAATGGTCACGCGTCTGCAGCCTCCTTATCTCGCCGTTTCGAGTGACTAAAGTGGTACACCCTGTGCTGGTATGGAACCGAATGCCAAACGCACGGAGGCATTTCCCGGGTCACTTGGTCGCAGGAACTGTCTTTCAAGGCTGTAGCCCTCGTTGTATGCGTTGAAATCAGCGGTAAACAGTCTGGTAACTAAAGGCATGGTCACTAAACACCTAGGCGCACCACGGCTGGAGGGGGCATATGGCTAGTTCTCATCGATCTGTGCCGACGCCTCCCCGAGACCTGTGAATTCCTGTAAAACTGTTGACTAGCATTTAGGCTATGGTCACACTTAAAGGCAGTTGGCACGATAAATCCCCCAAGACGATAATACGCCTGGCAGGACGGAATTCCGCGACCCTGAGCAGGCGCTGCATAATGCCTTTTCCAAGAAAGGTGCCCTTA